CAAAGTAACTTCGTAAACTAATTAATTGACAAGAACCGAATTGCTTGCTTGCAACTAATTAACTGACAAGAGTGGCCCAAACGTTAAGCCATCGGCAGCTATAAATGACAGTTAACTGAAAGACTATCTCGCAATATTATTAATAAAGTTATAATTTATATCACTTGAGTGCAGTGTATCTTTTAATGAACATGTTTATGATTTTAAAAAATATATGTAAATCTATTCTCATATACACACTTGAAGTAGAATATCTAATGTCACAAAAGTTATCGATAATAAATCATCGTCAAGTCTACTTTGTAACGGTGGTGTTGATGATTGCTTTCGATTTTCTAGATCTGTTATGTTAACTATTTCGATATTATCTGGCGAAGATTAATATTTCCTAACATATTAGTGATTATTTTCAGGATTTTTTTATTGTTTATGTGAACGGTCTACCGTGAAAATTATCATTTTCGTTTCTTTATTATCAATAAAATAAAGTATATAATAAAACTATTACGACAAATTTGCTGCCATCAAGTCAAAAATGACGCAAGTAAAATTGCTTTAAAAGTGAATAAAATATAAAAGCTCACAAAAAAAACTTACAATATATATTCCAAGGTCTTTTTTTTTATATTTTTCTTGTGTATTCCAATCTCTCCTTTGTTTCATCAGTTGTTCCAAGAAGCTAAGTTTTCTTTTACTGAATACAAATTCAGCTCCCACATATTCATTTACTACTAAACTCGAACATTTCTTATATTAATATTAATAATAATAACATGATACATGATTGAGATAGATAAAATCATTGATTAGGGATTCGGTACTTTATGTTCCAGGATCAAATTTCATTAATAACTGCTTGATCGCGGAGGAAATTAATAGATAATTTAAAATAAAACTCTGTGATAGAATCATATTTTTATAAGCTTTTAAAAATAAAAACGTTGTTTTTATTTTCTTTGTTTAAAACGCTTTGATAAAAGCACCAAGCGTAATGTTTTGGTAAAAGGTAACAATTGTGGAGCTTTAGTAAAAGCTACATTTTATTTGCTTTGATGAGTAAGCAAGGTTAGGGTTAACTAGTGAATGTTAACAACAATTAGTAACATGATTTGCTTTAGTAAGTAAGCAAAGGTTTGGACTAACATTGGTTAACTGGTGGGTGTTAATGAATCATCGTCTAAAGGTTAATCGGAAATACTGGTAGTATTATTGTAATTGTAAACGTAAGGGTTGTTTTTACAAGTAAACCAAAGCAAATTTGCAATCAGCCAATAAAACGATCACAAATGAATAAAAGGAACTTTATAGAAGTGCTTGAGTCTATCTTTATTTATTTACAGTCATCTGGTACCATTAAGTGTGCTCACAGATGCAAGAAAGAGAGAACCAAAGTAAATTTGTAAACTAATTAATTGACAAGCACTGAATTATTTGCAATTAACTGGCAAGAGTAGTCAAAATTTAAGCCATAATTGTTAACACAATTTAACAACAATCAAAAGTTTATTATTTTAAAATCTTATTATAATTAAACAAAATAAGGATAAAATAAAAAGATAAATAAAAAGATAATAAATAAATTTATAGTGGAGATTAAATTAGTCATTCATCAATCCTTTCTTTTAATTATTAGAATCAAACGTAAATAAAAAATATTGTTGGTAATAATTAATGGATAGTAAGTTCCAATTAATTTAATTAATAATGAAATTTCTATTCACCTTCAGTATTTAAGAGGAGAGTGTTAAAATCAAGATTGTTTAACGAACTATCATTACCTGTATAAATTTTCAAGCTTTTTGATTTAGCAATCTCTTCATCTAAAATTCTACTTGTATGATATGCATCTGGATGTGATTCGTATACTTGTTGCCAAGCACTACCACTATCACTACTAGTAGTATTATTACTATTGTCATCATTATTTTCACGAATTTCATCATGTTTATCATAAGCAAATTCCCAAAGCTCTTTAGAAGTTGGTCTTTTTAATGGATTCACATCCCAACACCTCTGCATCATTTTGCACATAATCATCAGGCATTCCAGGTAGTATTGGTGGTCGTAAACCTTTTGCACATATATCAAAAATCAAACGATGATTGTGAGCTCTAATGTCAAATGGTGGGTGACCTGCAAATATTTCCCACATTAACATTCCAACACTATAGATATCTGATTCTTTGGTGTTCTCTTTTCCTCTAAGTACTTCGGGTGCAACATATGATACAATTCCATAGACTTTATCTGATGATTTTTCATCAACTGGTCCACATAATCCCAAATCTGTAATATAACAAACACCTCCTCCTTCCATAAGTATATTACCACTATGTAAATCACAATGGATTAAACCTTTTTCATGTATATCATATAATGAACCACATAAATACATAAAGATTGTAATCTTATCTTTTAATATTAAATGATTTTTTTGCAAATAACCCCTTAAACTTCCTTCTGGTTTATAATTTAAAATTATTGAATAATTTCCATTATCTGAGAATTTAGTTATACCATAGCATTCCACCATCATTTGTGATTTAATTTTACAATAATTCATTGCCTGAAATTGAATATAAAATCAATTAATATTATATGGGGCATGCTGCAACAAAACCAGACAAAGTGAACATTTTGTATTTTAGGGCTTGACATTTTCATTGTACTGCCAGTATAGTTAACAGGGTCCTTTGTTTCTGTTATCTGTTATTACCATAATGAACATTTTTGTTTTTTTTAAACTGTTTTCAAGGCCAACAGTTTGGTCTGTCTTTAATTAGACCAAAATAGAAAGGACAAGACAGACTATTTTAAATTCTTACACTTTGGAAAGTGTTATTGGTTTATTGGCCATTGGTAATCCAGATTTTTGAATAGATTTAAACCAGCATGTTTGCCAACTAAGGTTGCAGGCAAAACCTCTTAGTGACTCTGTCAAAACTCTAATAAACAATTAATGTGTGACCTGTCGATTGTCAAACCCCCCCAAAATGTGAAACTCTGTCGAAACTCTAATAAACAATTAATGTGTAACCTGTCGAAACTGTCAATTGATTTCTGGAAGAGTTTTGCCCGCAACCTTATTGCCAACTTGCTAGCATTTTGTCATGTCATCTTTCCTGGATAATGGAGGATATTAGAATAGTTGCTGAAATGCCAAATAGTTTCTCATAGTAGCCGAAATTATTTTCTTTACATTGAATGGTATAGTTTTTAATGTAGATTTATATGAAAAACATTCTGTGCTGAAGTTACTTTTTTTTTAAAAACAATTTTGGTGCCATATTTAGTCTCTAATGTTCCAAAGGAAAATCAGATTGCATTATCTATTATCAAGGAAAAAATATTAATACAAGAAAAAATAAAAATAATTTTTTAATTCATTTTCTTTGTTGAAAAGAAGAGACAGGGCAATAGAAATATTATATATTAAAAAAAAAAGGGATATAATTTTTATTCAATTTGAAAAAAATAATTTGATTTATTATTTCTTTGTTCACTTTACTTGATTTTTGTTTAAAAATTTGCTTCTTTGATAATAATAACTTTCATCACTTTTTTTTTTTTTTTGAAAAAAAAGAAGAGCTTAGTTATTGAATTTGCAATGTAAGGATTTTTGTTCCATCAATATGATATATGAATATAAATAAAGAACTAATTGGAATTATTTTAACATATCCGAGTGAATAATAATAATAATATAAATATAAGCAAGTAGAATTAAAAAAGAAAAAATCAAGCAAAATAGAAAAAAAGAAATTAAGAAAGGGTATTAGGAGTATTAGATTAGATTATATATATAATAAGAGAATAGAGAAGTATTGAATATTAAAAATATAGTATTACTATTTTTCTTATTGTTATAAAAGTCCATTATTAAAAAAATCCAGTAATTGTAATTACTTTAGATACTAATAAAATTATTGTTATTTTTATCATTAATCATTAATCCACCTCCTTATTAAAAAAAATAACATTCTTTTTTTGCATGCTCTTCATTACTTTGTTGTTTTTGTTTTTTTTTGATATGAAAATATAATATCATCATTGTATGACAAAACTGAAGATTATTTGATCAATCTTTATTCTATCACATATATGTAGCAATTAAAAAAATAGTATTATTCATTAAAAGCTTCTAAATCTACTTTGACTTTTTCACTTTCTTTTGTAATTTTATCAATTGATAAATTATGTTTTAAACTGAGATGGCAACTCATTTTTTCTGGTGTATAAAGATTGGTTTCTTTACAGTTTTGTAACATGCATCTAAAAATTGGTGTTTCTATACCCATAAGAATTGCAGATTTAACTGTGATAACGTTTCCTTCAAAAAGATCAATGCCAGGATATTTTGCTTCTTTAATTAATGTTGGAACTATGTATGATTCTAGAAATTTGTCAGAGTAAGTGGTATAAGGGGCATTTTTTCTGTGTAATGGTGGTGGGTCTTTGTAAGTTTGACATTGTAATAGGATGTTGCAAATATCAATTTGTGAATATCTAAGAGGATTTTTAGTTCTCTCAAGATCTGTTTCAGCAACTTGTTTATTGGGACCAACACAAGGCCATTTTTCTAGAAAATATTTCAAAATCACTTCTTGTCAGTGTGGTTTCTCTGCTTCATATATTATACAGTGCCGGTCACAAGTACACATCCAATTGTTTCAATTTTAAAATTTTGATGATCTTTCCAAAATAAGCAATAAA